GTAATGATGCTGAAAATACAGCTTTGATCACAGGAATAAATTACATTTTAACAGATATTCACATAGTTATTTTAAATTGTAATAATATTTCACAATTTTTACTGTATTTTTGATCAAATAAATGCAGCCTTGGTGAGCAGAAGAAAAAACTAAACTAAAAACAACCCCAAACTTTTGAAAGTGTATTTAATAGTTCTCATTACAAAAACAATGGATTTGTGCCTTAAATACTTTAAAGGGGTCATATGATGTTGCTAAAAAGAACATTATTTTGTGTATTTGGTGTAATGAAATGTGTTTATGCGGTTTAAAGTAATAAAAAACACATTATTTTCCACATACTGTACATTATTGTTTCTCCTCTATGCCCCGCCTTTCTGAAACGCGTCGATTTTTACAAAGCTCATCGGTCTGAAAAGCGAGGTGTGCTCTGATTGGCCAGCTATCCAGTGCGTTGTGATTGGCCGAATACCTCAAGCATGTGACGGAAATGTTACGCCCCTTACCAGTATTGCCAAGTCTGCGGTTTTCCCGCAGAATTGGGCTACTTTAACACTGTTGCCGCAGGTTGTGTTTCATGTCCGCGAGTTGAAGCGACTCCAAAAACATGATATTTATCCCCTGGAATGCGAATTTTAGCAGGGGAACCCCGCCAAAAAACATGTATTTTATAACCGGAATGCTGTGATGCTGTGTCCCGGAGCGACGAGACAAAAACATTAAAACCCATTATAAATGAGGCGTTAATATTTTCTATATTATTTTATTTTACTTCTTGCATTAAATATTCTGAATCTAGTTTAATGCAAGAAATAAACTACAACAAAAATGCAGTTAAAAGGCAGTTAAAAATTACTGTTTTGTTGAAATGATAATTTCTGATAAAAAAATAAATAAAACATTTTTAAGCAAAGATCAAGATATACATTAAAATATTGTTAAAAAGGTGAAAAATAATGAAAAATAACTTTAGTTATATCGCCCGGACCACATACACACTACGTCACAATGATTGAAACAATAGGACAGCGGTTAGTTAAGCATTGGGATCTGGGATGAGGTGGTAAATAAGAGCAGGCAGGGGATTTGGAGCTCTTCTGATTCTCATCAACTTAAAGTGTTGTATGGTAGTTCTGATGCAACTTTAAGTGCATGAAGGTGCATGAAAAAAAAACTGAAATCTAGTATTTCAGAGGGTGATGAGCAGGGTCAAATGTGCATAAATGGACAGAGCCTTCATGCAAACTTACTGCATTGGATCAAGACATATCAAGAGACTGTTTCTAAAGTGATTTCTTCAGTATTAGAGAAAGTCAATCCTGTGAAAGCATGCATCATCTTCCAGCACAGGCATCTCCTGCATCACACATGCACAGAGGAAGCACCTCAAATGGTATATAGGGCATTATTTACATATAATGTTCACATACAGTGGGTACGGAAAGTATTCAGACCCCCTTAAATTGTTCACTCTTTGTTATATTGCAGCCATTTGCTAAAATCATTTAAGTTAATTTTTTTTCTTCATTAATGTACACACAGCACCCCATATTGACAGAAAAACACAGAATTGTTGACATTTTTGCAGATTTATTAAAAAAAGAAAAACTGAAATATCACATAGTCCTAAGTATTCAGACCCTTTGCTCAGTATTTAGTAGAACCACCCTTTTGATCTAATACAGCCATGAGCCTTTTTGGGAAAGATGCAACAAGTTTTTCACACATGGATTTGGGGATCCTCTGCCATTCCCTCTTGCAGATCCACTCCAGTTCTGTCAGGTTGGATGGTAAACGTTGGTGGACAGCCATTTTTAGGTCTCTCCAGAGATGCTCAATTGAGTTTAAGTCAGGGCTCTGGCTGAGGAAAAAAAAATAACTTAAATGATTTTAGCAAATGGCTGCAATATAACAAAGAGTGAAAAATTTAAGGGGGTCTGAATACTTTCCGTACCCACTGTATGAACAGCTGTCATTGTTCCAGGACTGATATGAGCTAATGGAGCTGGACTCTACATCCTTTGTAAAAAGCAATGACTAAACAGTTTATATGATCTTTTTCTATAATTCATGTCTTACATATAAATGTTGTCATATCTGTAAAGCTTTGACTATGTCCATAAGGCAGCTAAAAACAAAACCCTTAAGGACTGAGTAGGATTCTGAGGGGAAAACATCTTTCTGCATGCACAGTCAAAAATCAAAAATAGTGTGTAATTCTGATGCTATTTGACCTTGACCTCTGAACCTCTCATGACACAAGTGCAGGCTAATGCTCACTGTACTAATTCAGGCACATGCTGTGAGAGGTTAATAGAGGGTTTCATTTCCTGGTGCTTGCACAGTCTACTTCTCCCTGAGATGAAATGTACTAATAAAGTTCACACTGCTGTTTTATAGCATCTCCTTTTTCCATTGTCATGATTTGAGGCCAAACACAACTACTGTCAGAGTGTTTAACAGCAGGGGTATTAAAACTCTTCCTTGTCCCTTGCTCCTCTCTCTCTCTCTCTTTCAGACATGTTATAAAAGACAAAAAAACATGAATGGTGGTTAAGAGAAGACCTGTCATCTTCTCCGGGTACGGTTTTCTCTGGTAGGTTTCAGTACACACAGAAACACTTGGGGACCAATTTACTTAGGTTTGAAATGCAGGTGCTCTGACAGCCACCTTCTATTTTAAGCCATGAAATCTATTATACTGGAGAATGAAGTTTAGATGTCCTTCTGGTGAAGGAAGTCAGTTATGTGGCTTTCTTATTACCTAACTTTTCATGAAACCATAAGTTGAACCATGTTGACTTTGCAATTGTCAATATTTACAGCATTTACCCATCCTACTTAAGTCATATTGTAGCCAAAATTATTAAAAAGAAATATGAAGAAGTATTATATTAAATGAGTATTGGCACAAGGCAAATATCATTATGGATAAGTGGAAAACAATATAGTCAACATTGACAATATATTTTAAATAGTTCAAAATATAAAGGATTTTCATTGTCAAATAGTTGAATAACCTCACAGAATTATTATAAAATAATTTTAAACTTGAACAACACAAGACAATTTTTAAAGAGCGAGCGGTTTTTTGTATGATAATGCTGGAATAAAATAAATTAAAATAATATTTTTTGTATGATAATGTTGGAATAATATAATTTAAATGAATAATAATAATTATTATTATTATTATTATTATTATATTAATGATAATAATAATTATTAAATAATTTTAAAATTATAAAAATAAAAAAAATTATATAGATACAATTATATAATAATATTATATGATATAATAATATGGTTATAATTATAGGTACATACACACATATAATTTAATAATAATAATAATAATAATTTATTAAATATGAAATTACTTTGAATAATTATTTTTTATTAATAAATACAGTGTGTATGCACTATACATTGTGTGTATATATATAGATTGTTACTTCAAGAGCATATTCTGCCGGGTTTTCAAATTATGCACTGCCTTGAGGCTATAGGCTCTTTTCATTTACACAACCTGAAGGGGAACAGTCCATTATTCACTCCAGAACACAGTCTCCTTTTGTCTCCAATGCACTTTAAAGGTCTTAGTCCATCAATGGTTATTAATAGCCATGTTAACAGCAGCCCCATAAACCTCAATTAAAATGAGGGGAATTTAGGACTGGACCGTGCTAAAAGAGCTCTTTACACCATGGAGCGGCACGACATGCCAAACCGTGCTAGAGAGTACGCTGATGGGTCGCATGACGCCTGATGGATATGCAGCCTGTCGTAGCTCCGCCCTCCCTATCAGCTGGGCCTCCAAAATGAGCTGTCAGCTCGTGGCGTGATGGGATATGATCTACAGCTCATAGTTCTGCCATCACATCAGCCCTGCGCTGATTAATGTCCCTGTCCATGGTGCTGAAAGCCAGTCGCTGACATTCCAGAGAGGAACTAGATGAGAGAAAGGATTTAATGACACAG